ATTAGGCTTTTCACTTGATCCATGGGTTATTTTAGAAATAAATTTTTTTAATTTCCAAACATTTGGAAATTGTTTAGATGTGTTTCTCCTTTTGATTTCTAGATTAATGCTCCTAAAAACACACATTGTATGATTTCTGTTTTATTTAAGTTTGATTAAGGCACAAAATATAGTATACCTAGGTGAATATGTGCATAAAATAAGGATGTATAACTTGTTTTTGTTTAGCATAATGTTTTATAATTGTTCAATAGTTCACTTTGGTTGATCGTGCTAGTCAGATCATCTATGTTCTTTCTGATTTTCCACATACTTGTTCTGTGAATTAATGAATGAGGAGTATTGAATTTTCCCATTGTAATTATGGATTTGTCTGTTTCCCTTTTCAGAGTCTTTCTGATTTAATTTTGAATCTTTTGTTTGGTATATACATTTAGGATTGTTACATCTTTTTCTCTCCCCCCACCCACATCCCCAGTTCTTTGGATTGTTACATCTTGAAGAATTACTTTATTGTTATATGAAGTCCTTCTTTGTCTGATAATTTTTCTTCTTCTGAAACCTATGTTTTCTGAAAGAAATACAGCTACTCCAACTTTTGTTTAATAGGTTTCATCTTCTTACAGATTATGAAGTCTATATAGCTAAAGTAAGATTTTTGTAAATGCTATATAGTTAGGATATAGTTGGTAGAGTCTCCTGCCTGAGCACCAGGCTGTCTTCACTGGGACCCCTCAAAGGGGGGTGGTTGAGTTTCCCTCCCTGCCCTGAGCAGAGCCCGAGCAGCCCCACACCTCTATTACCCAGCCACAGCCATGCTCAAGGCCACTCTCCACATGCTTAGACAAGCCTCACGCATGAAGGAACTGGCAGAGGAACCCAGGTGCGTGGGTCCCGGGGCTGAGATCTCTAAGCCTGCTCGGATCGGGACTGGGCCTCCTCCACCCAGATCCCCCATTTTCCAGTAGATAGGCAGTTAAACCCACAAACTGCCCCCAGTGCCATGAAATCCCATCAATGGCCAAGATCCAGGGACTATAAAACAAAGCTCCTGGAAGTGTGCAGCCGCATACACAGCCACACAACCTCTTTTAGTCTAGTTATCCTTCTTGGAGAACCCAGCAAGCTACCGAGAGTATCCTGCCCACATGGCAGAGCCTGGCAAGCTCCTGTGGAGTATTTGATATGCCAAAAACAGTAACAATGATATGTCTCATTCCCCTGAAAGAGCCTCCAATGCGGTAAGGAGAGACTGATAAAATCTCAGGGCTAGGACAAATGCAGACATTACTGGTGCCTGCTCGAGCAAATTGATGAATAATGGAATGACAGTGATACAGTGATATAGTTGGTACTTGCTTTCCTATCCAATCTGACAAGTTGTCTTTTAACTTCTGTTTAAATCAGTGTTTCTAAACCAGGGGCAATATACCTCCTGCCATGGGCCACCATGATATTCTAAGGGGGCTACAGGTGAAAATCATGTAAATGGTAGGCCAAGGGATGAGACTATTGGGCCAACCATTAGGACAGGAGGGCACAGGAAGGAAACAAGGTCTGAGGGGGATACAGTCAGAAAAGTTTAAAAAAAACACAGGTTTAGACTGTTCACATTGAAAAGGACTGGTAATTAAACCAACCTCCACTATCTAAGTAGCTGCTTTCTCTTCCATTTGTTCTGTTTCTTGTTACCTCTTTTTCTGTTTACTGTAACTTTTTGATTTTGTGTCACACTCAGCAGTACTCAGGGCTTATTCCTGGCTCTACACTCAGAGATCACTCCTAGTGAGCTCAGGAGACCATATGGGGTGCCAGGGATCAAAGTTGGGTCAGCCACATACAAGGCAAGTGCCATACCCACTGTACTATCGCCCTGGCCCCTGTTTACTAGAACCTTTTAATTATTTTATATTTTCTGTTGACTTATTTATAAATATTTTTCTTTTCAAAACTTACTTAATCGTCAAATTATGTTTTATATTATTCCTGTTTAAATCATTTTAGTTCACCTAATAATTTTATACCATTTCACCTGAAGTATATATAGCCTAATAAATAACCTCACAACATTATATATATATATATATATATATATATATATATATATATATGCTTTTTGGGTCATACCCAGCGATGCTCAGGGGTTACTCCTGACTCTGCACTCAGGAATTACTCCTGGCGGTGCTCAGGGGACCATATGGGATGCTGGGATTTGAACCCGGGTTGGCTGCATGCAAGGCAAACACCCTACCTGCTGTGCTATCACTCCAGCCCCACAACATTATATTCTTAAATTTTTACTCCCATACCTCAGTTATCGTATTCGATATGCCAAACACATGTACTCGATATGCCAAACACAGTAACAAGTATCACAATGGAGATGTTACTGGGTCCGCTCGAGCAAATCGATGAACAACAGGAGGACAGTGACATTGGTACCTCAGTTATATAGGTATATACTTATTATTACATATGTTGTAGGCACCCAATAAGTTGTTAATGCTATTACATTAAATCATCACTTATTTCTAGAATAATTAAAATAAAAATGCCCCTGAAATTGGGGTCCTTGAGGATGGAGGTGGATACACTGGTGAGGCATGTGGTACTGGAATTATGTGCATGAGAAACCATTATTAACAGTATTGTAAATTACAGAACCTCAATCAGTTCTTTTTAAAGGAAAGAAAAGGACAAAACTTGCTCCTGGATCAAAATATATATATCTATAAGCACCACTGGGATGACTCTGGTGGTCTCTGGTATTATAGGACTAATCAGCTCTGAATACTCAGGCCCACCGAACTGCCCCAGGTCTGGGTGTTGTGTCTCCTGGCCTCCTGGTCACTGTTTGGGAGCCCCATCCAATAAAGATGATATTATATTGGCAGTTTCAGAAGAGAGGTATGCAATTGTATTTAAAATTAAAATATTTTTAAACTACAATAAAATATAACTCTTGTTCCATCCATGTTGCTGCAAATTGCATGATTTTATTCTTTCTTACATAGTATTATATTGTGTATGTATACCACAACTTCTTAATTAGTCATCTGTAGTTGGGCATTTGGATTGTTTCTATATCTCGGCTATTTTGTCAAGTGCAATAATGCACATAAGTGGGTGTATGTCCTTTTGGATTAATGTTTATATGTTTTGGAGATAAATGCCAATATCTATTGCTTGATCATATCACCCTGAGAGAAGTCAGTCAGAATGAAAGGGACAGATACAGAATGATCTCTCTCATTTGTGGGATTTAAAGATACATAGAGATGTAGCAACAAAGATCCAAAATCAACATAATTGGGGAACTGACCTACACAACTGAATTGCAAAGGATGAGATGACTAGGTTCCTTGGGGGAAGGAGATGGGTACATTGGTGATAAGTATGGTGTTGGAATTATGGGGAAAAAATTACCAGTAGTATTGTAAACAAAAAAATTTAATAATGTTAATTTTTTTAATGTTAGCAATTACAGACACTGAGTTTCAGGTAACTGGAACTCTACCAACTTTGCAACTTTTCTCTACATCTGAACTGTTGAAAATTTAACAATATTTTATTTTAAAATAAATAAAATAGTATATAAATTTTGGGGTGGGGTGAAGACCTCAGTAGCGTCTTCCACATGGCCGACCCCAGGTTGGATCATATTTGAACATATGGCACCCCATATGGTTCCCCAAGCCCCACCAGGGGTAATCTCTGAGCACGGAGGCAGGAGTAAGCCCTGAGCAATACTGGGTGTAGTCCAAACCAAATAAAATAAATAAAATTTAACTTTTTTTGTTTTGGGGTCACATCTGGGGTTACTCCTGGCTCTGCATTCAGGAATTACTGCTGGTGGTGCTTGGGATGCCAATATGGGATGCCAGGGATTAAACTCGGGTTGGCCACATGCAAGACTAATAACTTACTCACTATACTATCTCTCTCTGGCACTAAAATGTAACTCTTCAATTCATGGGCTGGAGCATACACTTTGCATATGAGAACCCTAGATTAGATCCCCTGGTACCACCCTGAGCACTGCTGGGAGTAGCCGTCCCCCATGATTCAGAGACACACAAATGAATTTCGAAGGAGAGTAGCATGCTGCAGAGATGCCTCTGGACCCCAAATATTTTTTTTAAAAAATTAGAATTACAGTAGCGTTCGACCACTTTCATGGACACACAAGATCTCATACTATTCATAACAAGAGATACAAAATAAATTATTTAGCATCTGCCTATGGGGCAGGCTTGGGTGTTGGTAGTGGGAAAATTTGAAATAATGGTGTTGAGAAGGTGTACTGGTGGTGGTATTGGTGTTGAAATGGTGAATGTAGACAAATACTGTGAACAACTTTATGAAAATAAAATTAAAATATTTTTTTAAAAGTAATGTGGAGTTCATGCCTGCTTCAGTCAGCTTCGTCAGTGGCTGAAGAAATAGCAGTACTCCTATATTTTAAAAAAAGAGTAGGCATTCCCATCAGGCCCACTGATGTGTTTCAGAAACAAATAAAAAACAAATTGAAAAAGTACCTTACTACTTTACGTGCTCCAAGGCAACGTTTAGCTTAGTTTCTTGACTAAGGGCATGGTAGAAGGAGGCAGACGGCAAGACTGGCTGCATGGAAAACCCTTAAATTGTTTTTATCTTGTTATTTTATCAAGTATTTTTGTGCTGCTCAATGGGTATAGACTTTTATGGTTTTCATACACAAGTGAAACCAAAAAAAGTCAGACTATTTACAACACTTAAAAATGTCACACTAGTAATATAATTGCACTGAAGCTATTCCTCATGTAATGAGACTCAATGTAAATTTGTTTTATGATTTAGAGTAGGAAGTAGCTAAAATGATGTATTCCATCTGTCCTTTTCCTTCTTCCCTTTCTCTCACCCTAAAAGAATATGCTAGAGATTCTTCAGGGAGGAGTAAAAAAGATTAATTTTAGAATATATATTCATGTTCAGATACCACTTCTTGGATTTGCTTCTAGGTTCTGTTATTGCATTGGAATTTAATGGAGATAATGCTGTAGAAGGATGTCAACATATTATCAACGAGATATTCAATGGGACCAAGGTATGAAATTTATTCACAATACTTAATTTATATCATTTCATTTTCCTTAAAATCAAATAGTACATTTATGCCTTGGGTTACTTGTAATTAAAGAAACCTTTTCAACAGCTTATGATTTTTACAGCCCTTGGTAAATAATTGGTAACCTAAGCTTCGTGTTTGCCTTGACAACCAAATTTTAATTGCTCATAATGTCACAAAATAAGAATATATTTAAAAACTTCAATAGGGACCATAGAGATAAATACAGCAGTTAGCTTGCCTAACATGTGGCTGACCCAGGTTCAGCCACAGTATCCCATATGGTTCCCCCCAAGCCCACCAAGAGCAGAGCCAGGAGGAGGCCCTGATTACCATCCGAGTGTGGCACCAAAACAAAAAAAAAGATAAAAAAAAACCTTCAATAATATGTGTTTCCATTTGATTTTTTCATCGAATATCTCTTCAAATATATCCTGTTTTGAAAAATGATAAGTTGTAAAATGGTATATTTCTAAGTTTAAATACTTTAGACAGATGTTTGATGCTTCACCAAAAATTGTCCAGTGTTTGATGCTTCACCAAAAAATTGAACTTCACTGATATCTAGAAGTGATATATATATAGGAATCTTCTAAATATGTTTATGAGCTTACAACAGATAAGAATTTTGGACTTAAAAACAAATATATAAAAATATTATATGACGGGCCAAAGCGATAGTATAGTGTGTAGGGCACTTGCTTTGCATATGGCTGAGCTGGGTTTGCTCTCTGGTACCCCATATGGTTCCTGATCCCCACCAGGAGTGATCCCTGCGTGCAGAGCCAGGAATCAACCCTGAGCAACACTGGGTGTGAACCAAACACCAAAATAATTAAATGAGTCAATACTTAATCATTTTTAAATAAATATATGAGACCACCCCCAGTTCTATCCCTGGCACAACATATGGTCTTCCAAGCCCTGCCAGAAGTGATTCCTGCGTGCAAAGCCCCTGAGTAAGCCATGAGCATATCTGGGTGTGGCCCAAAGACCGAGAGAGGAGAGGGAGTGAGAGAGAGAAGGAAATGTTAGTTTTGTACTCTGATTTAGCTTATGGATCCTTGAATTGACTTAATTTTAAAGTACTTTGTCTTTTGTCTAATTTTTTCACAGCAACACTACTAAGGGAGAGGACAAATGTAATCAGATTGTAAATAGGGAAAATAGTTATATGGTTAAATATTAGATTTGAAAGATTTTAAGATTACCTAACCCAAATTCTTTGTTTTGTAAGTGTGGAAATTGAACCCTGAGTGGTTTATAAATTATCAGCATCATACATTTAGTGATGTAGCTAGATTAGAACCCAGATCTTCTAAAATTCCTTGCTGCTATATGAAAAAGCCATTTTGAAGATTCTATTGAGTTCTGCTTTATTGATGTTTAGAAAATAATTCACTTGGCATTTGCCTTGCACACGGCTGACCCGGGTTTGATTCCCAGCATCCCATATGGTCCCCCGGGCACTGCCAGGAGTAATCCCTGAGTGCATGAGCCAGGAGTAACCCCTGTACAACACCGGGTGTGACCCAAAATGCAAAAAAAAAATTCACTTAAAATCAGATATATTTTAGCAGCATTTAAGAACATAATCTCAAATTTTGCTTTTCACCCTATAAGAAAAAGGAAGACACTGAGTGAAATAAACCTTTATTTAATGGCTTTCATAATATTGATGTTATGCTTAAAAAAACAGTAAAATCTCAAGTGCAATATAATAAATCAAAGTATTGTGAAAGCAAACACATTAATTATATAAGTACTTTTTTAAAAGAGCTCAATTTATATTATAGCTTTGGAACTATATTGCATGGACTCTATAGAATATCTACAGATTAAATACTATAAAAGTTGTATTTGAATTTCTTTTAAATGGAAAACTTGTGACTTTGCTCAATGCATGTTGGAATTTGGGGATTTCTAGTATTTTTTCTTTTTTTCTTTAAAATAGATGTTCGTATCCGAAAGCAAGGAAACAGCACAGAGAGACGTAGACAGCTTCTATAACTTTGCTGATATACAGATGGCAATATGAAGCACAGTGCGGAACCCAGGACCTGACATTAAGTATTTTCCACCTTGTGTATTCACAGTGGGTTTTACTAATGCTAAGATGACTGGAGCTTACTTTATAATAAATGAGCTAAATGCTGCAACCTTTTATTTGGATTTCAAAATCAGTTCATTTTGAACTAAGTTTTAATCAGTTTAAAAACCAAGGGCTTCAATTAGCTTGTACTTTGTTTCTCTGCATATAATAGAAAAGGCTAGCAGTAATTTTTAAGCCTAATCAAATGTTCTTTCAAGTCTCTAATAATTTCATTTATCCTCAGTGCACATGGTATTTGTTTGAGAATACATTCCATTGCTTATTTTTTTCACTTTAGAGGGATTTTTATACCCATAAATGCAGTAAAATAATGGATTTCTAGTTGTACAATCTACCAAATGAGATTTTGTATACAAAGCTGACATAATACTTTGTAAATTGAGCTAATTTTTAATTAATAATATTTGGTAATCAGTTTTTCAAGTAACTCTACTAACTGATGTTGGTATAACTATTTAAAGACTATTTTGTAAGTAGTATGATTATTTGAACAAATTCCACATTAGTTTTCAGAAATTGTTGTATCGAAAGATATAACAGTTATCACAAATTCTTTTATTGATCTATTTTTGATAATTCCATTTGCCACTTTATTAGTAACAAGCAATATGAAGTAAATTTGCTTTTGCCTGCTAAGGAACTGACTTGTGGTTGTGGGTGGGAAATTGGAGATACTTGGTGAAGGGAAGGTCACACTGGTAGTGGGATTAGTGTTGGAATATTGAATACCTGAAACAACAATACAATAATATAATATAATATAATATAATATAATATAATATAATACAATACAATACAATACAATAAACAGCTTTGGTAAGTAATGGTGTTTAAATTTTTTAAAAAGACTTCTAGATGATTTTGCTGCTTTATGGTAAGAAAGGATATATGCAGCACTAAAACTGTGGAACCCAATCATTTACTGTTTCTCAAAAAAGGTTATAATTGTTTTCCACTCTTGTGGGCCCTAGGAGAGTTAAAATAAACCCTTGTGACATTTAGGTAAGAAACACTCTGGCATGATGATAAGCTACACAAATCATTTAAAAGCTAGATAAATTTGATTTTCACTAGATATTCTATTCTAATCAAGTAATTTTCAAGCCTCCTAATAAAATTATTTTGGTTGCTTTAAAGCATTATTTTCAAGTCAACCTGACTATAATAATTTACCATGAGTCAGAGAACTATACACTCAATATAAGAAATGTTCAAGATGATAAAATTATTTTGTTTGTTTTAAAGCACTATTTTCCAAATCCACCAGACCATAATTAAGAAGCAGGGAAGAGCTATTTGTTTAAAAATCCCACCAGAGCCACTGAGATAGTTCAAGGGCCAGGACCTCAGTTTGGATCCACAGTACTGCATGGTCCTCAACATTGCTGGCCATGGCCATATTAACCCTCAAGATATCTCCAGGGTGTGGCTTTTGTGATGCCCACTCCACTGGGCCCCAAGCATCACAACATCTATCCCAGTAGGCCAAGAACCACAGGGAGTAGCCCCAGAATTAAACAAAATTAAAACCTACATTTTTGGACCCAATGATCAGATCCAGTCTACAGGGAAATCTATTTGGAGAAGGATATCCCCAGCAATGCTTCAGTACCCAGGTTGTTGCAAGGGGGTCTCCTGTGATAAGTGTAATTTTTTCCACACATTTGAACTATTTCCCTGACCCTCAAGGGGAGGCTTTATATTGAGGGGTTTATTATAAATCCAAAGTAACCCTATAGAAGATGTCGATAGGCTAATCTTGTAAGAATGGACTGAACCTGCATCTACCTAAGATTTCAGAGCTAGGAGAAACCAGCTTTCATATGTCTATTTTTTAAAAGAAACGTAAATTTAATTATATTTTTATAAACCAAGTTTGAAAATAGCCACTTGTAACAATTCCTCTTATGATTGTTACTGGAATGTATTTTCATGTTTGAACTGTTTTGGGAATATTTTCTTACCCGTTCATAACTACTACATTGAATTACATGTTGATGTTCTGCAATAATAATACATTAAAAGACTTTTCACTTTGAATTACTAATACTGGTTACCTACCCTGTGCCTGGCCTTATGAGCATTGCATCACTTCAAGTCCTTTTATAAGAGCATTCTATACTACATAATCAACGTCTCCTTTAAATGAAAATGATTTTATAAGACGTGTAGACTGGGTCGATAGCACAGTGGGTAAGGTGCTTGCCTTGCACATGGCTCATCTGGGTTTGATCTCCAGCATCCCATATGGTCCCCCGAGCACCATCCGGAGTGATTCCTGAGCAGAGAACCAGAGTAACCTCTGAGCATCTCTGGATGTGGTCATAAAACAAAACAAAAAGATGCAAATAAAAATTACGAATAGGTTTATTGGGCCATACCTTCTGTTGCTCAAGGCTTAATGCCCAGCTGAGGTCAGGGCTCACTCCTGGTGGGCTCAGGGTACCGTATTCCAGGGATCGAACCTGGGTCAGCTGCATGCAAAGCAAGTGTCTGCTATACTATTGCTCTGCCCCACCAACAAGTTTAATATAATTTTCATTATAATTTACAAATAAATTCAAGTGGTGATCAGAAGTCATTTTTCCCATTAAGCTAAATATTCCTTCTAATGTAATTACATTGTTAAACTGTTTAACTATATTATCCAGGGTTTAAAATAATGATAGTACTGTGCTTTTCAAAAATTCAAAGCTGAATATTGAATTCTTTATCTTGTATATAGCATTTAGCAAAACTCAGGAACACATAAGGGAGACATTAATTATTAAATTTCTACTAGGTTTAGTGTCTGTTAATCAAAGCCTAAAATTTTATATGCTTGGGTTAGATGAGAGCTTTTGGTTGAGTTTCAGTGGTAGAGTACATATGTGCCTCACGTGTATGAGACCTTTGTTCAGGGTCAAGAATAAAAATAAAATTAAGTGAAAAACAGAGCTTCTTTCCAAGTTTGTCTTTAAAGACATTTATTTGACTTCTGAATGTTTGAAAGATTTTTAAGAATAAGTAGTGCTATGGTTGTTGTGTCTATAATACTAAACTTTGATAGTAAGTATTTACTATCAAGTATTTTCACTTGTAGTACATTTTATTTCTGAGTAGCTTTTGAATTTATAGAAATCATGATCAATAAAATATTAGAAATTTGATTGTTAATCATATTTAAACATTATATTATCTTATTTCTCTTTCTCTTGTGTTAATACTACTAGTCCTTTGCTTCTCTATATTTATGTCTAGATTTTGTATGTAATGTACCCAGTGTTTATAAAATATTATTTGTAATAAATGTTGTTAAAATAAAAATGGCTTAATACTTTTTGTTCGGTTTTGTTGAGCTATAATTGACATTCAGTATTAGTTTCATGTGTACAGCAGGAATTACACATATTATTATGGCAACAAATATAGTTAACATCCATCATCTCATTTAAATACAAAAATAAAAATACTTTTCCTTAAAATAAAAGATTATAGAATTTACTCTCTTTTACAAACGTTTTGGCCACACTTGACAGTGCTCAGGACTTACTCCTGGCTTTGCACTCAGGAATCACTCCTGTTGGACTTGAAGGATAATATGGGATGCCAGGGATCAAACTCAGGTCAGCTTTGCAAGGCAAGTGCGCTACCCACTGTTCTATCACTCCATCCCAGGATTTACTCTCTTAATACCTTTCAAATTACAAATAACAAATTTGAACTATACTCATCATGTTGTGCATCACACCTCTAGTAGTTATTTGTCTTTTTTCTTTTAAGTTTAAGTGTGTGCCTTTTGACCACTTGTTCCATATGCTTTCCTTTCCTCCCACTTCAACTCTAGTAACCATAAATTCAGTCAAGCCTATGAATATTTAATTTGTTCTGTAGATATATGTTCTACATATTTTTGAGATCATATAGTATTTGTCTTTGAGTTATTTTACTTACCATAATGCCCTCAAGATCCATCCAAGTTGTTTTTTATTTGTTTTTGTTTTGGGTCAACACCCAATGGTGCTCAGGGCTTACTCTTAGCTTTGTTCTCAATAATCAATATGGTCTAGGTGGTGCTAGACCATATTCAGTGCTGAGGATTGAACAGGGGTCAGCCGCCTGCAAGGTGGGAGACCTTCTATGTCTCCAGCCCAAATTAAGTAGTTTTGTGGTTGAATAATTGTTTATGTATATTTGTGCATTTATATATAATGGATTTATTTGTACCACATATTTATCCATTCATCCATCAGTGGTTACTTAAGTTATTTCCCTATCTTGGAAATAATGTAAATAATGTACATTGTAAAAAATGCTGCTATGAATGAATATGTGTCAATATTTCTTTGATATAGTGTCTATGGTTTTTCAAATATAGCACTGTAGCACTGTCCTCCCATTGTTCATCGATTTGCTTGAACGGGCCCAGTAATGTCTCCATTATGAGAATTCTTGTCTCTGTATTTGGCATATTGAATACATCACAGGTAGCTTGCCAGGCTTTGCTGTGCAGGTGAGATACTCTCGGTAGCTTGCCAGGCTCTCCAAGAGGGGTTTTCAAATATTCCCGGAAATGTTTTGCTGTGTCATATGGCAGTTTAGTTTTTAATTTTTTGAGAAACTGCCATGTTATTTTCCATAGTAGATATACCCATATAACAACAGTATAAAAGGGCCCCCTTTTTTTCCACGTTTATGTCAGCATTTTTCTCTTGTCTTTTTGTGTTAGTCATTCTGATGTGATATCACTGTGGACTTTTATTTTCCCAATGGCTAGTAATATTGAGTTTCTTTTCATGCATTTATTTGACACCTGTGTATTTTCTTTAGAAAAATGTCTGTTCAAGGCAACAGGACTTCAGTTATTCTGGTGATATAGATGAGTGTCATAGCCATACATCCAAAACACAGACTCAACAAAACTGAAAATATGAGATCTAAGCTGCAAACACTGAAATTTTGTAATGTGCCTGTCAAGTTGACAGGTGGGGATCAGGTGGAAATTGGGAAGGGAAAGGTATGTAGGAAAACTGGTGGAAGAAAGTTGACTCTGATGGTGGGATTGGTGTTGAAATATTACATGCCTAAAACACAACTATCAATAAGTTAGTAAATCACAGTTCTTTAATAAAAGAGAAATTTATAAAGAAGAAAAATGTCTGTTCAGGACCTTTGTCCATTTTTTTTGGCTTTGGGGCCGCACTCAGTGGTGTTCAGTGAGTACTCCCATCTTTGTGTTTGGGGGGTCACTCCTGGCAGTGTTTGGGGGACCATACCATGTCTAGTATTGAAGCTGGGCCTCCTGCATTCAAAGCATATGCTCAGCCTATTTAGTTATCTCTGGCCGCTTTGGCCACTTGGGGCTTCTTTGCTTGTTGGGGGGTTTGGCCACACCAGCTGCACTTAGGGCAAGGGATCATATGCAATGCTGGGGACTGAACCCAGGTTGGCCACATGTAAGGCAAGCACCTTACCCAATATAGTACTGTATTTGCCCATTTAAAAATTGGATTATTTCTGGAGGGGATTTGCATATTTTGAATGTTATTAATGCATTAATGTTATTATTAATGTATTAATGCATTAGATATTAATCCCTTCCTTATCAGACATATGGTTTGCAAATATTTTTCCTATTCCTTATGTTGATTTTTCATTTAGCAAGTTCCATTTTGTTGCTATTGTTATTACTTCAGGTGTCAGCTCAGTACTAATTTTTATTTTTGTAATTTTTTTAAAAAAATTTGTGCTTTTTGGGTCACACCAGGCGATGCACAGGGGTTACTCCTGTCTCTGCACTCAGGAATTACCCCTGGCAGTGCTCAGGGGACCATATGGGATGCTGGGAATCGAACCTGGGTCGGCTGCGTGCAAGGCAAACGCTCTACCCGCTGTGCTATTGCTCCAGCCCCCAGTACTAATATTTAAAGAGCACTTTGATTAAGATACATTTACTCATACATTCGCGGCCGCGCAACCTCTTATTATGACATCTTATTATCTCATTCCTACTTTGGACAAACTGGCAGGCTACCGAATGTAAACTGCCCACACGGCAGAGTCTGGCAAACTCCCCATGGTGTACCCAATATGCCAAATACCAGTAACAATGATGGGTCTCATTCTCCTAAAGAGCCTTGAATATAGCACTTTCTTAAAAATCTCAGGGCTAGGATGAAGGAGACGTTACTGGGACCTGCTCGAGGCAATCGATGAATAACAGGATGGTCGTGAAAGGGGGCAGGCATATAACAAATTTATTTCATATTACTTTCTCCAATAAAACTTAAAGGAATGGCAAATAGAATTATCAGAAAATGAATCAATAAAAGACAATTTGTGATGATTGACTGCTATATGTTTTTAACCTTTCTTAATCTAATAGAGGACAAACATATGCGCCATTAGTGAGTGCCATACTCAATGCCACACGTTGGGAAGTTTCTCCTGTCTTTTAAAGGAGTTCATTTAACATATTGCAAAACTGATTTCAAGGTTATGAATTCCCTAAATTTTTACCGGTCCATGGAACTTGTATTTTCAAATCTAAATGATAATCAAGCTGGATAGAGTATTCTTAGTGAGGTATTTATTTGAGTTTTTACGCTAGATCCTTCCATACTCTTCCAGCTCATAGAATTCCATTTGATAGAGCTGTTGTATATCTTATGGGCTTTCCTTTGTTTGTAAGTTCTTTTTTTTTTTATCTTGCTGCTTTCAATATTTTGTCTCCATCTTTGGATTTTGTCATTTTGAATACAATATTTCTTGGATTTTTCCTAATTGGGTGTATTTTTCATTGAGCACTCCAGGCCTCTTGGATCTTGGTGCCTATAATAACTCTGGGAAATTCTTATTAATTATTTCTTTGCTATTATTTCTTATTCACACTTGCCTTCTGCTCTTCAGGGACTCTGATGATTCTCATATTATTCTCTTGAATTCATCCCATAGTTCACTGGTGTGCTGTTCATTTCTTTTCAGACTGTTTTCTACCATCTGCTGTTTCCTAGTAGTTTTCTCCTTCTCATGTTGGAGCTCCTGATCTTTTGCATAGCTGCTATTATTCTATTATTCAGAGTGTCTATTGGCTATTTAGTGTCACCTACCATGCTCTTTATTTCTCTCATTTCTAATTGTAGTATTTTTTTCCATTTCTACTGTTATACTTTCTTGTGCTTTGCTGACTACCTGTCCTACCATTTCTTTGAGCTCATTGATCATCCTCATCATGGTGTCACTGAAGACGTTGTCTGAGGATTTACTGAGCTGGTTGGTATTGTTTATATCTTCAGTGATATTGAACTTGGTGGGCTTCTACATGTTTTCCCCCATTTGTTTTCTAATATTCTTGCTGTGTTGGGGGTAAGTCTTTGTAGTTAGCCCCCTGGAAGATGCTGAAGGCATAGAATAAAGGTTGTTCTTTTTTCTCACCCATCATCACAGAATAAGCCACATTCCTCAAGAGCTGTGATGTTGGCCTTTAATGTGGTACAGGTTGGGTGTGGGGGCTGCTAGAACTCACCTGGTAGGGAAAGGCTCTGCCTTCTGTTCTGGAAGAGACACAGTAATGTCAACTGAAGGAGGCAAACCTCACTTGGAGTGACAGAGCAGCAAGCAGAAGATAAAATTTTAATTCTAAAAGTAAAATAAAGTGACCTAATCCCTGTGATATTAATGAGAAATTAACTGTATAAAGTATTGTGTGCCTTTTCATAAAACACTCTGCAAAGGAAATAGAAAACATTTTGGTCTAAGGAAAGGAACCAAAGGCTTGTAATGAATGGATATTGGCATTTAGGTGGTGCAGTGAGATAATCTTGTATCCATAAAGCATATAAACATTTACATACTTGTAAAACAATATTATCTCAATAAAAAATTGAACAGATTTTAATATTTTCTGTTATTCCTCTCTTCATGTACCATTGTCTTTTGGTATTTGCAGGGGAATAGCCAGAACCATAATTGGATAGAAAACTCTATGGATATCCTTACAAAGTGGTATCCTATTTACATATAACCCATGTGTATTTCCCCATGCACTTTAATCATCTCTAGAGTACTCATATGTAATGCGATGGTAATGTTATGTAAATAGTTACATTATATATATATAATACATTAAGGGAATTTTAAAAGTCTGTACATGTTCAACATAGATGCAATCATCATAGGCCTATGTACAAGATATGTGAAGGGTCAACTAAATTCTCCTTAATTAGCTTTGGAGTTAAAAATTCAACTGTTTTGTATTGAATAATAATCATGGTCTGTGTATGCTAAGAC